AACCTAAGCTGGCTCAGCGAAAGGAAAGGAGACGGTCAGAGTTGTATGTAATTCGGAGAACGGGAGTGCAAGAAGTGGCAGAAGGTATATACATGATGAACATTCAAGAAGACAGTCCGAGAAATGTCGTTATAAGCCAGGAGGAAGCACAGGAGAACACAATTCGCTCCAACTCATACTCTGCACCACTTTGACTCCTACTCCTGCGTACGAGAGCGAAAGCGGACACGGTCGATGACCCTTCGAACTCGTCCAGCGCCGCGCGATAGCGCCGTGCGAATCCGGCCGAGTCGCGCCCGTATGGTGAGTGAGCGCGCTGGTGGTATGGCCTCAGATGAAGGGCCCGATGTCAACGTGCGCGCGAGCTCGGTGATCGTTGGCGAAGGGGCGTCTACGCCGTCGGCGGACGGGGACGATCGACTCTCGAGCGGGTTCGCCTGCGCGTCTGCAGGAAGGGGTCCTCTATTGCGCATAGATCGTAGCATGTGTTCGGTAGCACTGATTCTGACCCGACCATCTTTCAATCAGGTCAGTAAGTGCCGCCACAGACGGTGCACAAGTCGTAACTTGCCGATCTCGCCCGACGTATGCCCGTCGCGATTGATGGAGTCGCTCATGTCAGGGTCGAATAGACTGGTATGCTGCGGGGTACTAGAGACCATTTGGAGCCTCCTCAGAGAGCGCGTGTGCGATGGTAGTGGGTGAGTGTGGCAATGCGCCGGGTGAGGGTAGTGTGCGGGCGCGGCTGAGCGAGTGAGCGAGTGAGCGAGCGGCGTCGAGATTCCGCGGTCGATGCACTTCCACTCGCGATGGTAAAAGGCTGCAAAACATTCAATACGCGAATGTCTATGCATATTGTGTCAGTCTCTACGCCTTACCTCGAGACAAGCGCGTGCGATATGCGGGCGGGCAAGTCTATGGCGGTTCTGCGACTGAGACGCGCGAGAGAGCGGCAAATGAGTTGACGAACAAGAACGAGGCGACTAACACTGCAGATAGAGCTTCTTACGAGCGTCCAAATGAAGCGCAATCTCCTAGGGTACGTGCGGATGAGCCCGAGCTGCACGAACGACTACTCTTGCCAGTGACGGGGACGAGCCTTCGTGTACTGCCGCAAACGAGAAGATGGGAGAGATAGAATGTTATTTGCAGATATAATCGTACATGATCTGAGAGTGTGTCATTGCAGAGGAGGGGATGCAGAGTGATATCATGGGTGGTATGATGGGCTGAGTGCTATGCTGCTCGAACGAGGCGGGAGGAAAGGGAGGGGATCGTGAACGAGAGGTGCATGGCGAGAGCTGGACGCTCGCTACAAACGCATGACCTAAGACTGTTCGTGAGCCAGTGACTGACAGCCGAGAT